AGATGAGTCAGTCTTTTTTGTTCTCAGAACCAAAGGTAAAATGAACTGTAAATATTGAAACCTTTATAGAAGACAGGTGTTATTTATTAAATATGCTTATTTTTCAAATTTTCTGCTCCTGTTCAACTCTGTATAACCTTTCACTTACCCCTGCTGATTCTCTGATGTTCCAGGGGTCACACCTGTTCTTAAGGAAGTGTGGGAGGGAGTGGGCTGGGAATTTGAGAGAAACACCTGGGTGAACTTTGCTGTAAGGGATCTTTATATATTGCTCAGTCTTTTCACCTTCTGCCCCATTGCCTTCTCTGTTGACAACAGCAGTATGCCTTGCTGCCTCATGGGTGAGAATTCTTCCTTACAGGCAAAGTAACAGCGAACAGCTCTACTCTAAGAATACTGAGCAGTTTTTGCTTTCAATAAAAAGCTCAACACTAAGAATATAAACATAAGGAAGGGATTTTTGTTATAAAATGATACATAAACATTGAAACATAAAGTATGCATTTTTAAGAAAAGGAATATCTAGGATTTATTCTTAGCATGCGAAGTAGTATAATCTTCAGCAAGTTATTTAAGATATTGGAACTCATTATCTTTATACATAAAATACTGTTCAACTAGATGATGTATAATATATCCACTTCCTCTAGTCTGTTTCTAACTGTATGGCATTTCAAGATGTAGGGGCAGTTATTCGCTTCCAAGTGTTCATTCTTCATCCCACTTTCCCCAAAACACAACTCTAAGGCTTTACAATTAAAACTCTACTGCCTTTGATATTGAAGCCATTGGATAAATATGGTATAACATTGCTACAGAATTGAAGGCGAGAAGTTGATTTCAAAAAAATAAGTAGGGGTGAATTGATTACGCTTAAGTAAACAAATGCTAAGGAGCCACAATACTGCTTGAATGATGGTACCTGCTTCAACACTTTCACTCTTCTCTGGTAATCTGCCTGACAGTATGTCAGTTAGATATGCATTAGAGTTACCAAAACTTTTCATTTAAATACATCCCTTAAAAATGATTTTAATACTAAAGTGGAGAGAGTGTTTAATGTAACTGTTTTCTTGACCTTATGAAATGGATGAAATAAAGGATCTGAACAGTGGTTTTACCACCAACTAACCATCTGTCCAGTGTGTATAATGTGCCAGTTTTTACTAAGCTGTGTGTATCATCTCACTAAAAACTCACAAAGATCATATGGAGTAGAAATAATTATCCCTGTTTTACAAAGGGTCAGATGGTTAAGCCAAAGATCATCATGTTTATATAGTTAATCTGTGGCCCTAAGAACTAATTAAAAAAAAAAGAAATGAGATTCAAGTAAAAGTTTAACTCTAAATCTTATGTTTTGGCTGTTATTAAATGTTAGTATATTCAGATAGCAAGGGTTTGCAATACTGAAGGAAGTTTGAACAGTGTCACATTAATTTAATATATTTTTTTCTTGAATTCTTGAATTTTAGCTTAAGATTACATAAGCATAGTTTCTACATCATTAAAAATCTTTCTAAATATTATTTGATTTATGCCTGTATTCGTTTTCTGTTGCTGCTGTAACAAATGGTCACAAACTTAGTGGCTTAAAACAATACAACTTTATTATCTTACAGTTTTGAGAGTCAGAAGTTCCTGTTGCTGAGATAAAATGAAGATGTTGGCAGGGCTGAATTTATTTCTGGAGGCTCTGGGGAGATTGTTTCCTTGCCTATTCCATCTTCTAGAAATGACCTCCATTCCTTGCCTCATTATCATTTCCCCCATCTTGAAATCTAGCAGCTGTGGGTTAAGTCCTTCTCATATTGCATTACCCTGACCTACACTGTTGTCTCCATCTTCCACTGTTTTTTTTTTTTTTTTTGAGATGGAGTTTCAATCTTGTTGCCCAGGCTGGACTGGAGTGCAATGGCTCAATCTTAGCTCACTGCAACCTCAGCCTCCGGGGTTAAAGCGATTCTCCTCCCTCAGCCTCCAGATAGCTGGGATTACAGACATGCAGTACCACCCCCCCGGCTAATTTTGTATTTTTAGTAGAGACAGGGTTTCTCCATTTTGGTCAGGCTGGTCTTGAACTCCCAACCTCAGGTGATCCACCTGCCTCAGTCTCCCAAAGTGCTGGGGTTATAGGCATGAACCACAGTGACCAGCCTCCATCTTTCACTTTTAAAAACTCTTGTGAATACATGGAGGTCACCTGGAGAAAATAATTCAATTTTAGCATCAGATGATTAATGGCCTTAATTCTGTCACAACTTTAATCCTGCTTTGTCATGAAAGCTAATATAGTCATAGGTTCTGGTGACTAGGACATGAGCATGTTTGGAGAGTGGAGCATTATGCTTCCTTCCACAATGGCTGAAATGATATTTTCAAACTCTATCCTAATGTTTTATACGCCATTATCCCATCTCTGAATAAATTTTATTAATGTTGAGATTGTTTCCTTATGATATATAATACCTGAAGGTAGATAAAATTTCAAACACATGTGCATACATTATGTATTACTTACCTGATACAAATTTCCAGTTTCTTGAAATCATAATTGTATCTTATAGGTTAGTCTTCAGAATATGTTGTAATTTTTAATTTTAAGGTGGTATTTTTTTAAGATCTCTGTACATTTGTGAATATATTTATGTTGATTTGTTACCTGAGAGGTTAAAATACTAAGTGCATAATTTATAGTTATAATTATTCCCCACTGAAGATTTGTAAGAATACCATATTTTCCCTGTCATCCAGCATTTCATAGGTGAAATCTTGGGCTAGAAGAGTGGTGAACATACATTCTCTGTTGCAGGATTAGATAATTTACAAAAAAAAAAAAAAAAAACTAGTGTGATAGGCAGAATTGCCTCTAACCAAATCAATACCCTAATTCCTGTAATGTGTGAACATACTATGTTACGTGGAAAAAGGAAGTTGACAGATGCAATTAAGGTTACAGACCTGATGAGTTAGAAAGTGTTCTGGACTATTAAATTGGGCCTAGTCTAATCACATGAACTATTAGAAGCAAATAAATTTCTCCAAGTGAAAGATGTGGCAGAAGAAGAAACACAATCCAACTCCTAGCTGAGAGCTAGCAAGGAAATGGCCACTGCAGTCCTATAGCCACAAAGAACTGAATTTAGCCAACAACCTGGATAAGCTTGAGGTAGATTTCTTCTCCAGAGCCTCCCGTAAGGTACACATCCCTTCCAAACTTTTGATATCATCTTTGTGAAAACCTAAGCAGAGGGCTCAGATAAACCCACTGTGACTTCTGACAGACGAAACTATTAGATAATAAATGTACATTGTTTAAACCAAGTATGTAGTGATTTGTTTAGGCAGCAATGGAAACCTAATATAGTTTCTTAAATTGCAGTCAATTAGCAATAAATGAGTAAATGTATTTTGAAATAGTTCAAATTTCATTCCATCAGTCAAATTATCAAAGATAAAAAAAAATTAATATCATGGAGGTTTAACCAGGGTGCTTGTATAAACCATTCATGAAAATATTAATTTGTTGTGACTCTTAGAAGAACAATTTGACATTATGTGTGAAAATTAAAATTCTCATGCCACTTGGTTTAATACAAATATAACCACACCCAAGCAGACATGAAAAAGGATGTATGTTAATTTTAGAACTGTTCATATGAGAATAGCTGACATTGCATCAAAACTGTTTAACTCAGTACGGAACAGTAATGCAATAGAATGCCAGGAAGCAATTTTCACAATCAGACGGATCTCTACCTGTTGTCATAAAACAATCCCCCATTTTTTAAGTAAAAATAAGGTGCTGAAGAGTGCTTTGTTATTGTCACATTTGCATATGGATCTGTAAAATATATCATACTGCACAGAATCTTTCTAGATGATTATCTTAAAACTGGTCAAACTAAACATTTACAGATGACATGAGACCTGGGAGTCTTGGCTGAGGAGATAACATTTTACTGTAATTATTTGTTTATATTGTTTGAATTTTCCCATGTGCCTATACCTCCTTCTATAAAGTGAGAATAATTAATAGAAATCCTTTGAGAATTTTCTAGGTATGGAAAATTTCTTGTTGTTATTATCTGGATTACGGTAGTGAAAAAAATTATTGACTCGGTTTATTTTGCTTTAGTCTCCCAAAGTATTATATTTTTATGCGTGTCTCTTTGCTTCTTGCTTTTGTTCTTTAATTTTTTGTGTCTTACTCAGGAATATCTATAACTTTAAACCTGGATCCCCATCACTGACATTGACACAAATTCATATAATGCTTTCCACATGGTTTACATAGTTTTAACACATACATGACCAGTATGGGGCAGTGGACAGGACATACTGATATGTATACTGATATGTAAAGTGGAGGATGAGATATTCATGATAATGAAACATTACATCTATCTGTAATATGATTTTAATTCCAGTGGAATGAATTCAGTTGAAACATGACATTTACTATTAGACTAAATGGGATAGGCATTACAATGTAAAATGTTAACTGTTTCTTGGTAGCAAAATATGGGGGAAGCTGAGTTTATCTCTGTTTCCTATATTTTCCATAATTAACTTGTAATACATTGTCATTAGAGAAAAAATTACTTTAAATAGCTTATACACAATCAGGAAATGACAGTTCAATAATCTCTCTCCACCATTGTTAACTTAGGTACAGATAACAGAGTCTACAACAGGGCTTTATCTATTTAGAGATGAATAACCTGGATGGACCACTGATGGTGTTTTCCATTATGGTTTTGTAGTACTACTTTTTAATGTTGTATGCATTTTGCTTTCCAATTGTCTTCACAGGCATGTTAGTTAAAAGCTGATAGATGCTTATTAGTTGTTACTAACCACCCTCTACTCTGAAATGTGTCCTGATTCAAAACAGAAAATTCATTTATGTTTTTGAATTGTGTACAATATATGGCTCATTCAAATTAAGTATATCCTGTTATAAATGAGAATTAAATATGGGATAATGCTCATCTTACCTGAACTGCCTACTTTTGGTTCCAGAATCAAGGCAGCTGTAGTGGTAGTCAGGCGAAGTCCATGCAGACATATTTCTATTCTGCAATAATAACTCAGAGATTTATTAACTTTATATTTTGTGAACAAAATAAAAATATTAGTTTTAAACCATAAACTCCCAACAAGGAATGAAATATATGTATTTATTTATCTGATATGTTATTGAGCATGAAAACTAAATTTTTGATGAGAATTGCCATTAACATTCAGTTATAAATTACCAACACAAATGAAAGGCATTTGGCCGAGATATTTTTTGTTATTGTTCTGGTTAATTCACATTTCTCTTCTTGCTTTGTTTCTGTTCTGTTGATCTTGTGTTCATCCACAACACTAATGAGATTTGGGATATCACATTCCTATGTGAGTATTCTTATTATTCTTTTATCAAAATGTAGATTTCTATATCTACATTGCTTAAGATTCACTTTGGGTTTACATCTTCAGAAATTATTCTCTTAGGAGAATAAACTTCTCTCTAATATGTGCTGCAAAGTCATCGCCTCTAGTTACTCATTAGTAGAAAAAAATTCCTTATTCACATTGCCTTGAAGTTGCAAAAAATTCCTTATTCACATTGTCTTGAAGTTGCCTGCCTATCTCTGAATTTTCTCTATCAGCTGGATCCATGCACTACATGTATTTTGGTGCTAGTAACTGCCTTGCAAACTCATCTCCTTTTAAAGAAATAGCAACTTTGTTGAAAGTTCGTTCTATCTTTTTGTTTAAATGTTTCCATTTTCACTATTCTTTGGAAACTACCAGTCTTACTGATTAAATGCTGCAGCTAACGTGTCCATTATCAGGGCTACAATATGGTGCTGTTCCAACTGTGCACTCTGTGACACAAAGGGGAACCATTCGCGAAACAGATATCATTGTTTACATATTTATTGGAACAATTTTTGGGATGGCATGCATATGATTTTTTTACGAAAATTAATATTTTCTGACGATGTTTTGATATATGAAAGTGTCTTGGGGAAGAGATGCTTTTTGAAATTACTGAACAATAAATCATATGAGTTAACACTGGCTACTATTGTAGCAAGGGATTGCTCACATTGTTCACTATTGTAGCAAGGAATCTGGGGACTGCATTTATTCAAATACATTTAGGCAGGAAGTACAACAAAATGGTTGAGAGCATGGTCTTCTTTGGAATCAGAAATACTTGGTTCAAATAATGTTTCTTTGTGTTTGTTTGGTTTTCCCTGCTAGTTGTGTAACCCTGGAATATGTATTTAACCATTGAGAAATTTGGTTTTCTTATCTGGAAAATGGGAACACATAACCAAATTGTTATAAGTCAAAACAAAATCAATGGCTCATGAAATATGAGCATACATTGGTAAAATGGGAAATAAGTATATGCTGCTGGGCCAGCAACCTGGGAGACTGAGGGAAAGAGTTGTATTTTGAATGTGTATCATGTGCATGTACATCATATTTAAATAAATAAAATAACATCATTTTTAAATGATGCTGCAGATAGAATGCTTACCACAGTGGTTAACATGCAGTAAACATGCAATGGCAACTCTTATACATGCATCTGTGGCAATTAGAAACATTGTCCCAAATGGCCAGAACTCCTGGATGATTCGAATGGGATTTGATAACTGAAAACTATAGGGAAACATCTAAGAAGCAGAGGCATTGAGTGCACTCTATAGAATGAGCTATTCTAAATATGAGAAAGTCCATTGCTTCCTCTCATCTTTTTCCTCTGACCTAAAGATCTTTGATCTTTTGGTACCCAGAAAAAAAAAAAAAAAACATTTTCCAAACACCATTTTAATCTCAAACTATCCACAGAAGTTCTAGAGACAGAATGCCTGATTGAGAGCAGATGTGGAAGTCTGGAAAAATAAACTGAATGAGGCATAACTTGAATGTAACTATTGCGTACAAAACTACATCTTTCAAGCATTTTGTTGCTCTAAGTTTTTAGTGTTTGTAATATCATGCACTTTTTAATCCTCTTTTCTCAAAGCCATTTCCGTGGATCATCAGAGATGGGATGGAGCCCAGGAAAAATGTTTAGTCACAGCCCAATGTGGGTCTAGGGGAACCTTTAGAATTATACATATAGGAATACTTGTGTAGCATGTTGGATTTTCCATAAGCAGCTGGGTTTGGGATGGATTTGGGGTATAAAATATTTATTAAGGATTGGCACCTGTGAAATAAAAGAGGGAGAAAAGGATTGAGCAGAGGGAGAAGTTCGAATTGTAGCTCTGACAAAGCTTTAATCAGCCAAGTAGGTAGCTTTGAATTGAGTGCCGACCAACAGAGTTGCCCCACGTGGGGTTACAATGGCTGAGCTATTATAACCCACCTTGTTCATTCGGTGGTTATAAGTAGCTCCCTCTTCTTTTCGACCCCACGCACCAAGGCCTCAAGCAAAGGGAGTTAAGTTACATTTGAAGAAGCTGTTAACTGGACTGGTGACTGCACTTCCACAGCCAGGCATCAAGTGTTGATGGATGCTCTGGGAATATATCTCTGTGACTTTCACTCTCATATTAGAATTCTATAATGATGATAAAAAGAAAAAGCTCAGCCAAATGCTGTACTTCTGCAAGTCTTGCGTATTCATATTTTAAATGTTCATATCCTCACCGAAACCTTATTCATTTTCATTTGTAAGCCCAAGAGAGATAACATAATAATAGATGTCTGAAGTATGTATGTTTTTAAATACCTGCCAGGTATGTATGACCCATGTTTTCAACACAATATTTAGATAGACACTCCAGAATGTCTCTTTATTTCTCTCTATATAACTATATTTATCAATTTTTACAGTTTCTTTTTAATTTCCTTTTATTATATAGATAGATAATCTTGATCTCATACTTTTTCAAGTAAAACTAGGAAAGATAATGCATTCTTTCATTTAAATATATTTGAAAGAATAACGGAATTTACTATATAGAAAAAATATATAGTAATATAATCAATTATTCTGGTGTAGAGAAATTTTTTAAGTTGATAAATTTGATATCTAAGACTAAAATAAGGTCTTTAAAATTATATATGTTAGGTTTCATATTTGAATAAGTTATTTTTTTAAATAACATGTGAAGGATGTGTTTTTCAAAATGAGGTCCTATTTCCCTGGAAGAAAGAAATTCTCTTTTTCCATATTTTAATAAACAAAAGTTTACACATAACATTGGCAGTTAATATCCCCAATGATACGGTTTGGTTTTGTCCCCACCCTAATCTCATCTTGAATTATAATCCACATAATCCCCATATGTTGAAGGAGGGACCCCATGGGAGGTAATTGAATCTTGGAGGAGGTTTACCCCATGCTGTTCTCATGATAGTGAGTGAGTTATCCCGAGATCTGATAATTTTTCTAAGCATCTGGCATTTCCCCTGCTGGCAATCATTCTCTCTTGCCACCCTGTGAAGATGTGCCTTCTGCCGTAATTGTAAGTTTCCTGAGGCCACCCCAGTTATGCAGAACTGTGGGTCAGTCAGACTTCTTTTCTTTATAAATTAACCAATTTCAGCTGTTTCTTCATAGCAGCATGAGAATGGATTAATACAGTCAATTGATACCAGGCTAGTGGAGAGAGGGTAATATGGTTAGGCCCTGAGTCCACACCTAAATTTCATCTTGAACCATAATCCCCATAAAACCCACAATCCCAGTGTGTCAAGGGAGAGACCAGGTATAGGTAATTGAATCATGGGAATGGTTTCCCCATGCTGTTCTTGTAATAATGAGTGTGTTCTCACAAAATCTGAGGCTTTATAAGGTTTTTTTTTCCCTTTGCTCAGCACTTCTCCTTCCCACCACCTTGTGAAGAAGGTGCCTTGCTTCCACTTTGCCTTCAATACATTTCCTGAGGCCTCCCCAGCCATAGTGAACTATGAGTCAATTAAACCTCCTTCCTTCAGAAATTACCCAGTCTTGGGCAGTTCTTTTTAGCAGTATGAAAATGGAATAATACAGTAAATTCGTACCAAGAGTAGGGCACCACTGTAAAGATACCCAAAATTGTGGGAGTGATTTTGGAACTAGGTAATAGGCACAGGTTGGAACAGTTTGAAAAGCCCAGAAGAAGACAGAAAAATATGGGAATGTTTGGAACTTCCTAGAGACTTGGAAAACTCCAAAAGACAGGAAGATATGGGTAAGTTTGGAACTTCCTAGAAACCTGTTGAATGGCTTTCACCAAAATGCTGATAGTGATATGGACAATGAGGTATACTCAGAGGTGGTCTCAGATGGAGATAAGGAATTTATTGGGAACTGGAGCAAAGGTCACTCTTGCTATGCTTTAGCAAAGAGACTGGCAGCATTTTGCCCTTGCCCTAGAGATCTGTGGAATCTTGAGCTTGAGAGACATAATCTGAAATTGGAATTTATGTTTAAAAGGGAAGCAGAACATAAATGTTTAAAAATTTTTCAGCCTGACAATGCAATAAAAAATAAATGTTTATTTTCTGGGGAGTAATTCAAGCCCACTGCAGAAATTTACAAAGTAGTGAGGAGCCAAATGTTAATCACCAAGACAATGGGCAAACTGTCTCTAGGCCATGTCAGAGGTCTTCACGGCAGCCCCTCCCATCATAGGCCCAGAGGCCTAAGAGGGAAAAATGGTTTCCTTCACTGGACCAAGGGCCTTGCTACTGTGTGCAACCTCAGGACTTGGTGCCCTGCATCCCAACCTCTCCAGCCATGACAAAAGGGGCCAACATAGAGTTCAGGCTGTTGCTTCAGAGGGTGCAAGTCCCAAGTCTTGGCAGCTTCAGTGTGGTGTTGGTCCTATAGGTGCAAAGAAGATAAGAATTGAGGTTTGGAAAACTGTCTAGATTTCAGCAGATGTATAGAAATGCCTGGATGTCCGGGCAGAATCTTGCTGCAGGGGTGAGGCCCTCATGGAGAACCTCTGCTAGCACAGTGCAAAAGGGAAATGTAGGGTTAGATCTGTTACTCAGAGTCCCTACTGGAGCACTGCCTAGCAGAGCTGTGAGAAGAAGGCCACCATCCTCCAAAACCTAGAATAGTATATCCACTGAGAGCTTGCACCTGTACCTGGAAAACCCACAGCCAATCAATGCCAGGCTATAAAGTTGCTGGGAGATGGGTAGTAAACTGCAAAGCCACAGGGGCAGAGCTGCCCAAGGCAATGGGAGCCTGCTTCTTACATCAGCATGACCTGGATGTGGGACATGAAGTTAAAGGACATCATTTGGGAACTTTAAGGCTGAATGACTACCCTATAGGATTTTGGACTTGCATGGGGCCTGTGGCCCCTTTGTTTTGGCCAGTTCAATCATTTGGAACAGGTGTATTTCACCAATGCCTGTACCCCCTTTGTATCTAGGAAATAACTAACTTGGTTTAGATTTTACATGCTTTGTCTCAGATGAGACTTTGGACTTGAACTTTTGAATTAATGCTGGAAGAAGTCAAGATGTGAGGGACTGTTGAGAAGGCATGATTATTTTTAAATGGGAGGACCTGAGATTTGGGAGGGGCCAGAGTGGAATGATATGGTTTAGCTGTGTCCCTAACCAAATCTCAT